CGTCAACTATCAGCAGGAGGGCGGGGGAGCCTCGCTGCGGGGAAGCAGTGTGTGGACCTGTCAGCACAATTTACATGATGCCGAATTTAACAAACACATTTAAATAATTGGTTTACACGGCATAATAGGGACGATCGTCCGTTCTGTGATTCTCCAGAGCACACATGTTATGATATTAGGGTCATGCAGAGAGAGAGAGAGAGAGAGAGAGAGAGAGATGTGCGCGCGGCTTGTGCATGTGTGGATGGTAGAGCGACAGTGAGAGAACGTGTGTATGTTTCTGGAAGTGAAACGAGGAAGCAGAAAAACAGAGGTCTGTGATGTATTTTCTGAAACAGAAGAACAGCTAAATAAATGCAACGGCCTCCCAAGAANCGAGTGGACTGAGGTCCAGCTGAAAGACGGCGAAAGGCAGGCACCTACGTCACGACTAGCAAAGTGGTGTCTCCTTTCGGTGAAGTGATTAACGTATGGGTATTCCTCGACATATTTGACGGCGTCAAAAACGCACGACACATAAATCAACTTTCGGGTCACCGCTAGACGAGTAGAGAGTAGCTGCTATTATACGAAACTATGTTTCCCCCGCCCTGACCGGGTAGACACACAAGCTTGGAAAGGACAGCCGAAGGGTACTGGCATCAGCTCCTGCCCGTCTGTCGTTGTCGAAGTAAAGTTATTGGATGAATCGAAGTTTACTGACGCCTCTCTCCACTCGAGAAGAACCTCTCCCGGCAACGGTAAATAAATCGACAAGAAGACAAAGTCTTTTATGTAGTGTCTGGAGCAAAAAAGACGAAGGTAGCAAAAGGTAAGGTCTTTGTATGGTGTGCACAGAGAGTCGACAGCGCAGGGATTTTAGAAAGAGTAGGAAGAAAAAAGACTATGAGTAGTGCGTGCATGGCTTCCTTCTGCAGGTAACGGGTAGACGCGCTCTGGCGGCGGTCTCGTTCAGGATCCGAAAATACAATTTAAATATTTTGTACACTTATTCCACTTATTCCTAGTGTGCCACTGGTTACGGTGCCGCGTGCCAATGCTGGCACGCGTGCCAGGGGTTGCCGACCCCTGCTCTACATCCTTCACTTCCCACAATGCAACTTGATGGTGTCATTGGACCATTCTTGATAAATACCAATGTCTTTCAAACTCTGGTTTTTATCACAGTCTTTGGTTTTATGAGCAATGCATTATATTCCCAATGAAATAACCCTTATGTGTAAAGCTGGTACCAGTGTGTTGGTCTGCCTAAATAACAAAACAGATGGAAACATGACTAAAGTATCACTTGTGCCATTCATTTTACCTAGAATATTTTCAGGAAAATACCACAATAATAGCAAAGATGGGTTTAACCTGTTGATATACATACAACACTTTCACAGTCTTAGCAGTAGAAGTGTGTCAAATGACTAAATAGTGAATCAGTTGGTGGTATAAAGTTAATGTTGGTTTCTTGATTAGCTAGTGCACATTAACTTCATATGACTATGAAGTCGTAGGCGTTACTCATCTCTTTTTGCTCTGATTATAATCTTTCTCCACTGGGAATGTCTAATAAAGTAGATAACATTTCCATATTTCTTTCTAATAAAAGAGGTTATTAGAATTCTCTGTACAATTATCATAAAGTGTATTACTGTTCCTCAAACAGGCACAGCTGTACATCCCTGCCTTTCCTCCAACTGATCCTCAATTAGTGCTTCAGACAGAAATAAATCAGGCCTTTTATCGTTCCCAAAGGGACGTTTCCTTCACAGCTGGCCATTAAAGGCTTCAATACACACACACACGTAATGAACACAAGCAAGTGTTTACAGGGCTGTTAAGTACAGTCAAAATATGCTTGTTTGAAAGAGGGAAAGCTTCCCCAACATCAGTACATATATTTAAAATGATTTGCGTGGGCATAATTCAGTTTTCTGTCCATAATAACACCTATATTTAGGACTCGTATTCTTAATTTCAAAGTGTTTTTTGTACACCTTGGACACTCGGCGGCACCCATGGGACTCAAACCCTGACATTTAGCTTATGTTTCCACAGGTGTGTCTGGTGGGAAAGTCAAGAAACTACCAGATATCTCACGAGGCCGAGGCAGAGGAGCGAAGAGCTCATTACATACAGAGCCGCCAGAAAGCCCCTGGGGCCACAGTTCAAAGGTCAGACATCAGAAGTGATGGGAACTGTTGCCATGGAGAGGGAGACCCTGACAGGACCCCTGACAGCAGCTGGGGAGTTGGTTTCCAGCCCAGAGACAAGGTGGAAACGGTTCGAAACTGTGCTGCTCTCCCGCGGGACTTGGTCAACGGTGTGGTCCTGCAGGTTGCTAATGTAATCCTGGGAATGACTGAAGAGGATGGCGGAGGGTCCTCCAGTGACTGGAATCGAGGAGGTAAACCACATCACCCACATAACACTCCAAAAATCAGTCTCCCTGGGCATGAGCTGCTACAGAAGCGATGAACAGGCTCAAATTAAATCCAGAGTAGAACACATTATCAGAGAATCTCACTGATCCAGTCATGTTATTGTGCACTTTGGGAGTTTCTGCATTCATTACTTCTGTTGCCGAGCAGCTATAAATATCTCCTACAAAGGGAGAGATTAGTATCTACTGAAGCAGGGAAGTTGAGGAGATAAGGGCCAAAGTTTCCAGGCTGGTTGGCAAACGTTACAGATACTAAGGCTGTGATAGGACTTTTTATTATTACTAAGTCACCTTAAAGAACCACTGCTTTGAAACCAACACAATACTAAAACATTGCAGGTGCTAGCTACACTCTATGGATCTACAGACACAATGTTTTAGTTTAAGCTTTGTCCTACATTTTAACTGGTGTATCTATCAAATCATTATCATTGTTTACATCTCTTTTGCTAGGTGTCTGTTTTTCAATTGAATACATTGTGTGATTTTAAAGGCACCTGCTATGGCATGAATTCAACTAGATTCAAAATCTGAGATAGTTGCTTCTGGCTAAGCTAGTTATGTTAGCTTTAGCAGGAGTTGGTCTGTTGTTGTTTTTTTTCCTTCAGGCTTTAGGTTTAGCTGATTCATTTAACTATGTGCAACTAGTATTTTTACACTGTTAACAATAGGTCAGTAGGCTACATGAAAAAGGTTACATTTTTATAAACAGATGGTCAATATTCAATAAGTTAATTTAGTTTTAGCTTTGGCTAACGCTAGCAATAGCATTCATACCATTAGCTAAGTTTTGTAGCAATCTATAAAACCTCTAAATTTGTATACATTTGTGTGGCATATTATTTTTATATGGTATAACAGATCTCAAAACATAGTTCAGGTATTAAATGGGTAGTTAAACATTTTATACATTCATATAATTCTAAAGCCAGCAGCTTGTTATCTTAGCCTAGCACAAGGAATACAAACGGGGAAGCAGCAAAAGTGAAAGGGTATGTTCCAAAACAACACAAAATAATCTCTTCTCACATTCCTCAGTAGCCTACTACCTTAAAATATATTTTCATGTATTCTATCCCTGTCCCCCTCTTGGCATCATCCAGAAAGGCTTTCATGACACACAGTGACGCCACTTTGAACTCCGTAGCTATCTCTCTGCCAGCCGCACTTCCTTCACTGCGTGCTACAGAGAGTGCCACATACGCACGCCGCATCACACACACATATGCACTGCCCACGCATCACCTTTGTCAACGCCTCCGCACCACTGCTGCCACACACACACATCCCATATGAAAGAGATAAGGACATAAGGAATACTATGATTAAAAACTGAAAAATTATATGTCGTGATGTCAGTGCTGCATTTAGTTGCAGAAAATATGAGGGAGAGCAAATGAAGGGAGTCAGTAACCCTGTATAGAGATGACTTGATGAATAATGCACCAGCATCTATGATTTATGCATGAGAATGCATTTGTATTGAGGTATTCCTACCAGTTATCTGAAGGAACAAAGGGTAAATTCAGGGTGAACCAGCCTATATTGGAAAAATCCACAAGAACCTCAGTCATCGAAAGGCATCTGAGATTCAAATTCTCTCCATTTGAAATGGCCTCTTCAAAGACTGTGAGGATTTTTGATGTTTTAATCTACTAATTTTTAATATTGGAATGATTACTTCTGTAGATCTTTGGTTAAATAGCTTCCTCGCTTTAGTGTAAGCCCAAATGTTGTTAAACACAAACAGTCATTTAACATTTAAATAACAATAATTAAGGGGAAAGAAAGGTACATTTTTGAATGTGGGTGTAAAATACTGCTATCTAGGGCTAGGGTTTTTATATTCATAGCAATTGAGTATTAAAAAGTGATTGTTTGGCTTGTGTATTACAATTTGTACAAGTATCTTATGATCAAAATCATGAGACTATGTTTTACTGAAGCAAATGTCATTGTGTGAAGCCAATACACAAGCCTTGCTGCTGCTACTTCGCTTCATATTTGTGCAATGAGGTTTAAATACTGTATAGTCGTTATTGCGTGAAAGTTGCAAACGTGTGATGCTGCTACTTTAGCTTTAAGTAGATTTACTAATTCATGCATGCTTTACTGCTGACCGGACTCAGGTAGTTATGTAAGCTGCTCAGAATGAAAGTCAGTGTATACTGTAGCTCTCCATCTAACATGTACTCTTTACTCAATGCAATATTTTATCATTTCAAAAGACATGTACAGTAAGCCAAAAGTTCACATGGTGTCTCATGATGATGTTCCTTGTATAGTTTGCACATCTATTATATACATGTTCGAAACATAGCCTGCATTAAAGAGAGAGTGGGTACAGTATTATAACGGACGGGTGCATTCAATTCTTTCAAATTTATTCCCACAATCCTTCAGAAGACCCAGCTGTTATTCTTTGCACAATCATCATCCTCCCTCCCTGATTATCTCTGCTTGGAAGTGATTCATTTGTTCGTGTGTGTGTATCTGTTTATGACTAATCTTGCATAGACTACTACTCGACCCATGAGCCTAATATCAGCTGTGCTAATGTATGACTGTGTTCAAGGACCTCTTATGGTTTCACAATTAAAAAAAGAAATTATTTGATGGACTGTATACAGTCATTGACAACTAACCCCTTGGTGATCAACAACTGCTTCAGTAGCAAAAGGCCTTTCCAGCGTACGGGGAAGTTAAAAGCAAGCCTTGACTTGTATGTTGCAGGCCACATTTGGGCCTTTTTTGGGCTCAAAAACTGTAATCAGTAAGTCTAATTTTGACCCGGAGCATCTGCAGATTAATTCTATACTCGATATGTGTATTTCAGGGCCATTCATTTAGAGGCAATTGATTGGGATTATTTACAATACAGTTCATTTTTTATTTTGGTTATAATATATCTTAATATGATGAGTACATGTGTTCTCTCAATTTTTACACAATTGTATTTTATAATAAAAAAATAAAAGATAGTTCTGTTCCTTTTATCTCCTAACTTGAACCCTTTTGATAACTCAGATTTTCGGGTAAAGCTAATGCTATTTTTTATAACAGATTTCTCTTTCATTTTTTACTCCATCCAGCCTGATTCTGAATTGGCATGAGCAGCAAAAACACAAAAAGCAAACAATCACCGGCCATCTCTGCACAAGGGACATTTAGCCTTAAAAATGTACTGTACATCAAGCCGATCAATTAATAATCATCTCCTTTGGTCTTAGCCAAGCACAGTCTTCTCTGTCAATACTGCCCCTCTCCCATTAATCCGCATTAACTTTGTAGGCATTAAAGGGCAGCTCGAAACGTTGTATTGATATTATATTAAGGCCTTGAGCTCCCTAGAGTCTGGGCTATAGGACGGCAGTCTGCCCAGATTCACAATCAGCACTGGACTGCTTTTGGCCGTTCCGAGTGTCTGTGAATGTGGGAGTGTGTTGCATATTTTAGGTATTAACTCAGCAATTTCACCAGGATGCATTTGGGTGGAAAATATGTTTCAGAAAACTGAGAACAATCACCATCAAAAATGTCATGTAGAAGTACAAATAAAACTCCATATATTGTCTTTCAAATTGTACATTTATTTATTTGCCAAACTGAAGACAGATCAAAAGCGAAGGAAAAGATATGACACATTGAAATGCTCTCATTCTCAATAATCACTAGGCCAACAGTGCATACCTGAAATGAAGATTGCATTATGGTGTCTGCAGATTTAAGTCAAATATTGTTAGCACGAGTGCGTTTGTGTCCCTCTCCAATATGTCAGAGAAGAAGGAGGCAGACTGTCAATTGTCCAAACTAAAGGTCAACCATGATTGAATTCTCTTCTGGGGGTAAAAGGGCAACTCCAAAAATACAGAAAATCTCATTCCAACGCCCTTTATATGCTTACTACTCGCTAACTTGTAGCATAGGCATTTCAATAACCACCCTTAAAATGAATGTCCCAGTGGGGGGTGACAACAGTGACTCACGCACTGAAATAGATGTTAGTGGGATGCAGCGGTGAAATGCATGCTGGTCGCTCTGACAGCTTGTTTGAGCAGCTGTAATTGAGCACATTTCACAGGCCTTACTCGCACAGAAAGACAGTGACTGAGGTGTCCTTTTAAAAATGTTCCAACATAGCATCAATCACATTTCACTCCATTAGCATATTCTGTAGCATATTCTCATAGCACTGCCTCTCTTGAAACAACTGGCTCCAGCCAATCGCCTTCATCTGAATCTTGTTTTGAACTCTGTAGTGGTGGGATAAAAATGATTTCTGTGCATGCCTGAGGCAGCTTGTTAATATATTGATGATTGTGACATCGATAGACCTCCTCCCGCTCCTTTGTCACTCGTGTTTGCTCTTATCTATCCCTTTCTCCCCCTCCTCAGGAAGCCTCTCTGTGAACGAGGCGGCTGGGCTGATGAAGCAGGAAACCCTGCAGCTCCTGAAGAAGGAGTGTGGAGGCCTCCAGACGCTGCTGAAGAACAACCACCAAGTCTTCAGAGGTAGTTGGACCATACGCTTTATATACATTCTCTTAGCTATCATACAATAGAGGAAATTGTGTGTTTTTCCCTAAAGGGCAACATATTAGGACTACAAGTGTTTGGACACGTGGATTTTAACAAAGGGAATAAAATATGGCTGGCCAATAAATCAATATTTTGATACTAGATTTCGATATCATTATTTGGCATATTGTCCTTTCCCTGTTTTTGAAAGGCTATAATACGTCGATGTGATTTTCTAATTTTCACAATATGTCTTTATCAACCAATTCAATATCGAAATTACTGATGGTTATGTATTTGTCAAAAATCTTATTGTGTCTACATTTTTATGAGATATTAATATCAGGTATTTGGTCTTAAATGTGTCTCTCTATCGCATAAGTCCTACGATATAGATATTTTTAAAGAGGTCCTATTATGCTTTTTGGGGTTTTCCCTTTCCTGTAGTTTGTTATATAGGTTTTTGTGCATGTCAATGGTCTGCAAAGGCTTAAAAGATGTCGTAGTAGAGGCACAAAATACTGATATGAACCTGAAAAATGACATAATATTTATTCTTTGGTGAAATCCAATAGTACATTTTCCTCATTCCCTCAATATTCTTAATTTCCCTGTCATCTCTAAGGTCTCCCACTTTCCCCCGTACAAGTCAGATATCTTCCAACACAGTAACTCAGATCTTTGCTGATGATTCAACCAGGTGTCGTCTCTGATACGCAGTAAATATTATGAGTTCTGGATCCTGAAAATAACTCAGGCAAAAAGATTTATTTGTAGTTTTTGGAAGGAGCACTTCATTCTGGAGAGGCTTTAAATCTCGTCATTCCTTCTCTTTCAGTGGAAGGAGGGCGGGTGTATATAAGAGACTGGCGGGACAGGAAGGCCTCCAGGGCGGATACAAAAAGAAAGCCCCTCGCCCCCGGGGCCCTGAAAACTCGCGCCTGCTGGTTCTACGACCACCACCCTCAGCGCTGCCCCCTGCAGGCCGAACTCTGTGCCTTCGCCCACGGACCTGATGAGCTGCGACCCTCGACCAAACCTCTGAAGAAGATGAGACACAATGCCTTTATTTGAACTTGAGGAACTTTCCAAATGAACACTATGTGTATCTCTGCCCATAGAACTTCCTGAATAAGTCTCCACTCCCAGCCCTGAAGCCACAAAGAGGAAGAAGTTCAGATCCAAGCAACATTACGTCATTTCTGGGAAAGTTTTACAATATTCTCTCCCTCTGAGCCAGATGCAGCTTTAGCTTTCACTGTTATAGCTCGCTGACATCTCTAATTTCAAATTATCCTTTTATTTATTCAAGGAATAGATTTTTGTAAAGCTCAATTGTACACTGAATATCGCTTAAAGTGTATTTCAAACTACATTTTTCCTTTTTTATTTTAAGATAATGAAGTCCTTTATAGACTTTTCTTTTGCTGACCACTTTTCAACTTTCACTGCATAAAAACTCTAAAAGCTGTTATATATTTCTTTGAAGGCTGTTAATTCACCTCAAACAGGTACTTTGAGGTTCACAGGCAGGGCGGTGGATAAAGAACGGACGGCGTTTGAACAAAGTAAATGTTAGTGGCATGAATTATTTGTAGGCAGGAGTTGAGGGGTGAGCTGCGTGTCGTCCCCTCTGGACGGGCGCTCACTGCTGTGTCTCTCTAACAGCTGCCTTCACCCCGTGGCTCAAATGTCAAAAACAGTAAGGCCCACCCAGGGACTGCAGCATGGTGATGGGAAGTATGTCCTCTGGGTTCGTTTATTAATCTCCGTGCCATCAATCTCAAATTATTGATGCAATAAGGACAGACTATTTAGATCAATCACATTCAGATGAAGAATTGAAATTGACATTAAGATGTGGAAAATGCTGTCAGGATATTTTTTTAAGTCAGCAAGCTGTGTGCAGTATTCCCTCATAAAAGCTTCACACGAAAGGTATGTAAGACATTTACTTAGTTTTTATGGTATTTTATGGAAGCCTTTTTCTGCCAGGTAAAGAAAACAGATACCCAAATGTGTATGCATGTGAGGCTGGCCCGTTGGATTTTTCTGTGGATGTATAGAGAGGCGAAGTCCCTGCCTTTCTGGGGGACCTCCATGGGACCTTATTTCGGAAAAAGTATGTATTGAAGTCAATGTAGAGAGAAAGATTATCTTTCGATCCCNTTTGAATTGTGCTACAAATTACACATGTCAATTTAAAAGATAATTTTGCAAGTCAAAAAAATAAAAATGTGTTGTAAAACTGTGAAGTAACACTTTTTTTTGTGTGAAACCGCTCAATGGACTACATCTCCCATCTCGCACCACACACCAAGACGGCCGTCACGTTGGCACATTTCACTTCTCTCTTCAAGAATGAGGCTAAAAGTATTAAAAGAGGTGAAAATTACTACAAGTCTAGGCCTGTTGCTCTCCCTGAGATTTCTCCCATTTTTTCCCTTTAAACTGTGGGGTTTTCTCTGGAAGTCTTTCCTTGTACGATGTGAGAGTCTAAGGACAGAGGGTGTCGTATTGTCATACTGATATTCTGTACAAACTGTGAAGTCCACTGAGACATAACATCCATACTGTGGTTGACATGGAGATCCTTGGTAACATACTATGAAACTGGATGCCCCCGTATCCTCTGCAGCTCAATGGCTGTGTCACTGGGCATTGATGAAGACATACATGTGTTTAGTCTGACCACAGGTTCGACACATGGAGAAAAGGCCTAAAGCTGTAATTGTTTTCTGAACAATTGGCTGTTGATGGAAGGCCATTTAGATTTAAGTGATGCGATAGATTAAACTGATTGTGGTTGTGTTTTGACAAGTAGTACTCAGTCATAATGTTCACTAGTGTGGGTTTTAATGACTTACTTAAATAATTTCACCATCTCCTGCCCTTCCCCCTTGTGTCATTAGAAATTCATCCTTGAAAATATTTCTGCAGCTCGGGGTCTGAAAAGATTTGCCGATGCAATCGACCTGCTGCCCTACATTTAACTACAGAGGATTGAGACATGGAGGCGTTCATCTGCCAGATCCCCAACTCCACACACATTTACAGCCATTCTTGCTATGACTTTTTGAACCCAGTTTAATAAGCCATCATTATGTCTCCGTGTCTGCCTTGCACCAATGCCTAGAGACCAGAGGAATCTGCCCTCACGTAAACACTGAATAGGAGGTCGGCTGCTCCTCACCCACCCAAAGAATGCATTTTAGTGCCAAAAACAAAAACTGCTGCAATCAAAAAAACAGTTTTTTTCTGCATACACGTACCTAATAATTAAACTGTCATGTCAAGTCTGAGCTGTTCTGGTCCTATATTCTAAAAAATGAATGTAATATAAATATATTTGAAATAGATTATAATCTGCAAATGCTTATTTTTTCCAAACTTTTCCCCAATCTTTGCTTTTTTCTTGTCAGATAAAGGGAAGTCACTCGGGTCGAACTGCTCACAACTTGTACATTTCAATACTGGGATGGGGGATTATGAGTATGGGCTGAAAGGCAACAGGCTGAGAAGGGTGAGAACCAGTAACATATTTATATGGGAGAGATCAATAGCTGCACATATCAATATGAACACCTGTTTGTGCAGTATTGATTTCTACATAATAGGATTGTGTTGCCTTTTCAGTGGTGGACAATGTAAACAAAACATTTTCCTTGACCTTCCAAAGTAGATCTTTCTTACACAACGTCTGATACTAAACAGTGTTCAGTTTATATTCCAAATGGTACTTCTCATGTTTGAGAAATTCTTTCAATTCTTCTTGGTTTCTTACCCCTACTCTGTGCTATTCCAAATAATGATTCCCCATCAGCTTTTAAAATGTCCCCCGCAATAAATTAAAGATGGTGAAAGGACAGATGAAACACAGAGCAGAAAGACAAAATCCCTCCCAATGCCTGACATCTAGGTCATGGAGAAGTTGATGCATCTCTGTGCCTAAACCAACATGTCTTCCTCTGTTTGCCTCATGCTTTATTCAGTGTGCCACTATATGGCCTGGTCACGTACAGCAGCCTCTCTGAGCGAAGGGAACGGTGTACCAATGTGACGCTGACAGCTGTCACTTAAATGTATTCTTTTGTTTGACTGTTGCTGCCCTAAAAAAATCTTCTTTCCCTTCTCAGTACACCTCCAGCTTTTCATTTTCACAATGATAACAGGGGCAGATTTACCCACTGTAATTTTTGAAGGAATTATTTATTTCAGACATTGGATGATAGATTGTATTAGCTGTTGCTAGCTAATCAAGCTAATGGTTGTTTGAGAACTGTGTCCTGGCGTCTTGTATTTAAAACAGTTGCTATGTTTTACTTTTAATTGTACTTTGTTAGAGGATCAATCAATGTTTTTTGGCGAAAGTAACTTTGATAGGTTTAGATAATGGAGCAGGAAGGCTGCTAAATAAGTAATCCACGTGTTACACCGTCCCAAAAATGCTACACAGAAGATGTATTTGTTGCAAACGTTGTTTTATACAAATCTAAGATCTAACCAAACCGAACAAATGGCCTGGATATTATGCTAGGTAAATGTCGGTAGTAAACCGGTTAACTAACGTCGATACGTATGCTAACATGGTCAGGTAAACTGTGTCTCTAGCATTTTGTTTCATGAAGTGATTTTAGTTTTTATATTAGAGGTTGGTTCATCTTAACCCTAAAAAACTTCTTATATTCTTAAATTATATTTATAAAATAAGAGGTAGTCTTACCTTTGTTTAGATATGAATAATGGATTAAATGGTCCACTTTGTTTAATCAATGTGTTGAAATGACGTTGTCCTACTATGTGTGAATTTTTTTACCTTACTTAACATCTGCTCTAGCTATACAATCGGTGAGTCACCTTTTAATTACTGTCAAACATATTCTGTAATAATGCAATATCTTTTAGCTGGATGATGTTGAAAGTACTATAAGGCTATTGTATTTAATACTCATACAGCAACTGTTTCTAACTTTGTCTTAATTAATAAGGAGCTTCTTGCAGGCTTTTCCAAACACATAAAAGTCCACAAACTTAAATCCTCTCCATCTTGACAAGTCATTTTTGATATTCTCATCCAGGCACTCGATCAATATCTCAAAGCTGACAACCAGATGGTCACACAGATAAAACATTTCTAGTCTTTTTTTAATGTAATCACTACCGACTGTGTTATACTCATAGACTGTATATATAGGTTATTCTGCACCTGCAGGAGACCTCTTTTTACCCACTTCACCAAATGCAACACCACCTCCCTCGACCTTCTTCATCACTACTCAGACCTCGGTGACACTCTGAAGATAAGGGTGTTAGGCTGGTGCTCCCTAGTGTGAACTGTGTGAGAGAAAAAGGGTCAGATAGGAGTGTGTGCATGTGTGTGTGGGGTCACTGTGTGAGTCACTGTTGTTTGAAGACGTACTTCAAAAAGATGGCGGTGGAGAGCACCAAGCGAGGGCGGTGCTTCTTCTCGACACAGAGCTAGAAATAGACAATACACATGGGCCATTCCTTGGCATTTACACAATTCACACAGTTTAAATATAGGCTAAAGTAAAAAGTTGTCAGATCAATTAAATGTGTATTTACTGATCCATCTCATTTGTTAAATGTACAGTATGTCCAGGGAACACAAACCCTGTCTTTTTAACACAAATTGATCCACAGCATCAAAATACTTTTCAAATTGCCACTTCGGAGCCAATCCTCTGAATTAATATTTGATGAGATGTTAATTTAATACGGTGTTCTGCACAAAATGCGATGCCTCTTAAAGTGTGATTCTCTCCCAGGCCTTTCTAGTAAAATTGATATTCTAATCCTCCACTTCCAACCATGGAAATATAGATTTTCTTTATTTGTGCACTTTTAAAATGACCGCCTGGTGAGCAACTGTAGTGTCCAAGGAGCATGAATGTGGAGTGAAGGTGTTTACACATATTTCTAATTCAGATCAAGCTTTTATAAAGATGTTTTTGAGTAAAATGTCACATGTGAAGACAACCAATGAATGGTAAACCAAACCTAACAAAAACTGTTACAAATTAACAGAAATCAGTGGTGAGGGTAAATGCTTTGTGCAAGAAGTGCTGATGCTGTGTTATTGTAACCAAACATTTACGGCATCATTACAGTATAGACAAACAAGCCCAACAAATACATTGTTAAGTGGTGAAAAAAGACACAACTTGTAAACAAGTTTTTTTCCCATAGGTTTGTTTGGTCTGAAAGGGACAAATATGTAACCATCATAACTAACTATTTGTTATCTTGTGGAATAAAAAAACAGTGATGACATGTAATTAGTTTTAGACAATTACAGTTTTTCCACACTGCTAAAATGCATTTTCTTAGAAACAGGGAGCCCAGTTGGGATGACACAAATGACAAGTCTTTGATTCAAAACTATCCATACAATCAACAAAGTCAAAATCTTTTTCTTTATAAAAACAAAAGACACGTAATTAAAATTCATCAGTGTCTCATTGTACAATAACATTCTTTAATGATTTGCGTAATTAGCTTACAGAACTGAACAGTATTGTATCACTCTCCCAGTACACAAGCATATTCAGTTTGGTTTCATGATGCAATATTACATAATATCTTTCTGCTTTTAGTGTTACATCACGCCTTCGACGCGTCATCATGGGAAGAACGTTTACTCCCATGAGTTAAACCTTCACTTACTTGCTAAAGTAAAAAAAAAATGCAACTTACCAAAATAAAAGCGGCTCAGCAGCTCTAATATGAAGTGAAAATTGGGGTTACCATAGAGTCACAAATTAGGAGAGGGTGTCGTTACCATGGGCGACGGGCCAAGGTGACCCAGATGGCACAACAGCAGCTGATCCTTTTGGACCTCTGCGCTGTGACAGCTACACTTCATAGCAAAACCTCTCACACTGCATTACCCAGAAGTCTCTTGTCAAATCATGGTTGCAACCCTGATATTGTTGCATAATACTTGGACATAATCCTGCATAAATGATGTATAAAAAAGCATCTGCGTTTACCTTTCATCTAGCACAGCCTCTCTAAATACAGTGTTATAGTTGTGTGTGTGTAGGTGTGTCTGCTTGGAGCCAATTAGGAAAAGTGAAACTGTTCAACTGGCCGCACAGAATAGGGCAAACA